CTCTTCAGCTCAAGGCAAGCGCTCTACCACTTGAGCTACAGCGCCACTTCCGGTTTTCTGGTGGTTTATTGGAGATAGGAGTCTCACGGTCTCTCTTGCCCAGGCTGGCTTTGAACCGTGATCCTCAGATCTCAGTCTCCTGAGTAGCTAGGATTACAGGCGTGAGCCACCAGCGTCCGGCTCATTTTTCTATTCTCCAGTTTTTCTGACCATCATGGCATGATGATAGCACAGCTACTGGTAAACTACACTAATTGTCCTAATTTTAATTTAATAATGAAAAAAAAAACCCTCTCCAAGAATTTACATTGTAAGCCTCAGGAGATACCTCACCGTAATATATTGTACAAAGCAACTTTGAGGTTTTTCATTTTGCCCTATCAATGTCTCTTGTTTTTTCTTCATAAATAAATTTTAAGTTACGTTAATCAGATATATGAGTTTCTATAGCAGCACCTCAAGTAACACTCAGATGTTGCAAGAGACAAATAAAATAATGTGCAAATAAAATGCACTCGGTTCCCTTCTGCATCAGGATCCTGGATTCTATACTAAAAATGCAGGCTGCTATCTTCTCATTTATTGCCAAGCTGGGAAGAAGGTATAATACAGGGTAGTAAAAAATTCACAATGCATCATTCCTCCCACTTTTTAATTGTCCTTTTACTGGTTCAATCTTTCTACAATGGCTATAACCCTTTGACTATTTTCTAGAGTTGTGGCAAAGTTGAATATAATAATTATGGCTTGATTTTCAGTGTCTGGACCAGGTTTTTTTCTGCTTCAACCTTCTGCTCATATACTCTAGATATTTGTTTTCAAAGAGCTAAGAACTCATACCACAACCGAAAGCCAATGGCTCAAAGCTGTAATTCTAATTTCTCAGAAGGCTGAGGCCTAGAGCCAACCCCAGGCAGAAAAGGCCATGTGAGTCCATCTCGAATTAACCAACAAAATTCTGGGTTAGAAATGTGGTTCAAGTAGTAAAGAACAGGCTGTAAGCAAGAAAACTGTGAGCATGAGGCTGTGAGTTAAAGACCCAATGCTGGAGAAAAAAAAAAAAATTTTAATAGCCAAATGCGAGTGGCTCACTATTCAAAGCAGTGAGACCTGAGAATCATGGTTCAGAAGCCAGCCAGCGGTGGAAAAGTCCATAAGACTCTTACATCCAATTAAGCACCAAAAAGCTGGAAGTAGAACTGTGGCTTAAGTTTTAGAGCATTAGCCTTGATCAAAAAAGTTCAAGGACAATGCCCAGGCCCTGAGTTCAGGATCAGCACCAAAATAATAATATTCCTTTTCACAAAGTCACTTGGAACACAATCACCAATCTGCTCAACTGATGTCTGCTTATTCACTGTTACATGAAGATTTTATGCAACAACACATTTAATCCAGTTCTTGATAAATATATAGACCTTAAAAAAGATGCTTTGGCTGGGAAGGTGGCTCAGTAGTGCCTTGCATGCATGAGGCCCTGGGTTCGATTCCTCAGCACCAAGCAGAAAAAGTCGGAAATGGCTCTGTGGCTCAAGTGGTAGAGTGCTAGTCCTGAGCTGAAGAGCTGAGAGACAGTGCCCAGGCCCAGAGTTCAGGCCCCACAACCGACAAAAAAAAAAAAAAGGCCTTGTATTGATACAGAAAATACATTGTAACAATGCAAATCTGATGCAAAATTGATTTTTAAAAATCATAAACTTACATAACAACTGGTCCAGAAGTTTAGCCACTTGCTATAAAACACATCAAAGTTAATCTCCTTATTACAAATTTACTTCCAAATCTAAACAAATATTCATTTTTATTATATTCATCATAAAAATGGTAACAGTCTTTAGTTTCTGAGCATATTTAACACAAAACTTTTCAAAATATTGCTGCAAGAAACCACTTTGAATGAGTAAAATCATTGTATAAATGCTGAAATTTACCTGTTTGAGTCCTTCATCAGTAAGTTTGTCCTGGTTGCCTACATGTACTTTCTGAAGTAAAGGACAGTGAGAGGCAACCGCAATAATAGATGTGTCAGAAAGCTGTTTACACCTGTAGGCTGTATATCTAAGAAGTCCAGGACACTTAAATGCTAGAACACATACGCCAGTATCAGACATACTTCGACAATCAGAAATGTTGATTTCAATTATATTCTGACTTCTTGATGCAATTTTTTCCAATAATTCATCAGTAACCTACAAAAGAAAAAAGTGATAAATGTAAACCTTTGCTAGGTTCTATTATTTTATTAAAGTTTTATTAAAGTTTTCCCAATATTCTCTTGGCCATAAAGACTAAATACATGATTAAAGTGAGGTAAGTCAAGTCTCCATTCCTAACCTCCAGAGGGCCTGTAGACTAGGTTATAAAAACTCTTCCAATAATGTAACTGTAATCCCTCTGTACATGACCTTTATAATAACAATTTTTAAAAGGTTTGTTAAAATTTGCAAAAAAGAGATTCAAAGAACTTCTGAGTTGGTTGATAGCACATCAAAAAGGAAAACAAAATTAATATTCAACTCCTTTGTGTAAAAATAAGGAATAAAAGAATATATATGAAAATCAAAACATATAAAGGGATAAAAAGTTGGAATTATGAACTAGGAATAATGAGACTATCTTTCTTTATATTTACTAGAAACAGCATGACCAGACAGTTGCTTAAAAACCTAAAATTCCAATATACACACACACACACACATTTTTTTTTTTTTTGTCAGTCATGGGGCTTGAAATCTGGGCACAAGTGCTGTTCTTCAGCTCTTCAGCAATGCCACTTCTGGTTTTCTGGTGGTTTACTGGAGATAAAGAGTCTCACAGACTTTCCTGTCCAGGCTGGCTTGGAACTGTAATCCTCAGATCTTAGCCTCCTGAGTAGCTAGTTTGTTCCATTTAATTGTTTTGTTTTGTTTTTTTTTTTGTCAGTCATGGGGCTTGAACTATGGGCCTGGGTGCTGTCCCTCAGCTCTTTTTTTTCTTTTTTTTGGTCCAGTCATGGGGCCTGAACTCTGGGCCTGGGTGCTGTCCCTGAGCTCTTCAGCTCAAAGCTGGCACCCTACCACTTTAGCCACAGCACCACTTCCGGTTTTTTTCTGCTTATGTTGTGCTGAGGAATCGAATCCAGGGCTTGCAAGGCAAGCACTCTGCCACTGAGCCACCTTCGCAGCCCTCCATTTAATTTTTTTAATTTTTTTTAATTTTTCTCCAGTTCTTACTTTATGTTAGCTCATAATAATCATCTCAGACATCTGAGTACAAAGTGTAGAGCCAATGGATTACTACATACTTACCTTCTTGCCAGCTACAAGTCACAAATGACTTCTCACAATGCTCTTTAGACACAAATTTCATAAACCCACATCAAGTAAATAACAATCATCTAATTGTAATTATCTTAGCATTGAGGAAGAAAAACATCATGTAAAAAACTTGTCTAAGTGTTCTAGAACTTGCTTAATTTGTTTAAAATACCAGAAGTTAAAATTTGCTTGTACAGACAAGAATCAAGTCTGTATACTTATTTCTAAATCTGTACTCAGTGTTATCATATTTAGTTTGAAATTATTTATACTGTAGAAATTGGCAAGTACTAGGAATGACATCTTTTTCCATGTGAAAGTTAGTTATTAAACACCAGAAAATACCAAAGAGGAATTTTGAGTAATTTAAAACTCCAATAAAATTCTATTTTCATAGAATACTTTTATGTATTTCTCATTGGCCACTAAGATTTAAGGTATAAATCTAACAATTACAACAAATCATTGGCAATAAGCAAGACAAATTCTGCCTTTTTTTCCTAATTTATACCATATAAACTACTGAACAATCTATCAAACTGTAAAGTTTTAAAAAAAATTCTTAGTCTGTTTTCTATTTCTTCATGTATGCAAAATAATAGTATCTAATAGGGTTGCTGAGAGGATCAAATAAATGTATACACATAAAGATCTCAGAACAGCACATGTACAGAAGCAGTGCTATCATTTTGTTGTGTCTACTACCATCTTCTACTACAAACTTCCTAACTTCAAAAAGTTCACTGATTTTTAGGATACTGGAAAAAGGGAGGGGAAGGCAAAAGGACTAAGTCAAAGAATATTAAAAAGCAACCCAACATTACCAATCTATACTAGAAACTTTTTCATGAGGAGATACTACAATTAACTTAAATTAGAAAGAAAAAATTCAGAAAGCACAAAACTGTATATTACAGTCATCTCAACTATCCTGAAAAACAACACAAAAGATTTAATGATAATCAACATTTTTTTAACTGAATGGGTCAAAATTGTTATATTTTATAACATACCTGCTGACGACTACTAAGATCCAGCTGCTTCCAAAATTGGAAATCTAAACAAAGGTCACGCCAATACTTGCAAACCAATGATGCAGAAAGGCAACGCTCATCCAAGGACAAATTGGAAAATATCTGTGAATAAAAAAGGAACCACATATATGCTAAACATTTTCAAGATATATAAAAAAACTTTTAGTCAAAAAAATTAACTATTTAAAACAGAAACAAGGGCTGGGAAGATGGCTCAGTGGTAGAGTGATTGCCTTGCATGCCTGAGGCCCTGGGTTCAATTCCTCAGCACCACATAAGCAGAAAAAGCTGGAAGTGGTGCCGTGGCTCAAGTGGTAGAGCACTAGCCTTGAGCTGAAGAGCTGAGGGACAGTACCCAGGCCCAGAGTTCAGGCCCCATGACCAACATAAACGAACAAACAAACAAACAAATCAGAAATGATGTTAAATACAAGTGGGCATTATTAGGAAAGTAAGCATCATCAAAAGACTGCCTAAGAGGAAATATGGTTAGTTACAAAATCTAAGAACATGCACTGATGTTATGCTTTGTGCAGGGAGAGAAATAAGTCTTTTCTTAATTAAAAATAAGTTAAAAAATAAAATGAAAACTCAAAGAAATTGCCCTTTCTTGATCAAAACACTGTAAATTCTAGGAATAAAATATCACTTCTTCAATCTGAATAACAGGATCTCTAGACTCCATCCCAGCCCAGCTAATATATTTAATGGTAAAATGCTAAACATTTGGGTTAGGGATATAGCTCAAGTGGTAGAGTGCCAGCCAATGAGTGAAAGGTGTCAGATACTGATTTTGAATTATTCCCAAACAGTACTCTCCTATCTTGCATATTAGACAAATATGTAGGACATTACTTCTATGTAATATACTGGAAATTATGGCCAAAGATATCTGGAAAGGAAAAAAGAGTTATCTGGATTAGCAAGTTAACAATTTAAAATGCTATGTTGAAAAATGAACTTTATAACTTTCAGGGGCGTGGGGGGGGGAGTGGTAGTGTAGTCGTGGAGATGGGAGGGCAGGAATGGTAGGGGAAAAACAAAGGAGGCAACAATGGTAAGAAAGGCACTTATTACCTTGCTCATGTAATGGTAACCTCTCTGTATGATATTTTCACAATAAAAAAACTGATTTAAAAAAAAAAAGTAATGTACTCATTGCCTGACCTATGAAATGGTCACTCCTCTATATAACACCTTAATAATAACAATAAAATTATGTTCCAAAAAGAAGTTTATTACTTCCAGGTGCTGGTGGCTCACACCTGTAATCCTAGCTACTCAGTAGGCTGAGATCTGAGGATCATGGTTCAAAGCAAGCCTGGACAGTAAAGTCTGTGAGACTCTTATCTCCAATTAACCAATTAACCACCAGAAAACCAGATGTGGTGCTATGGCTGAAGTGGTAAAGCGCTAGCCTTGAACTGAAGAGCTCAGGGTCAGCACCCAGGTCCAGAGTTCAAGTCTCAAGACAAAAAAAAAAAAAAAATTCATTACTTATGCATTTTTTTTGTTTGTGCTTGTCCTTGGGCTTGAACTAAGGGCCTGGGCACTGTCCCTGAACTTTTGTTACTCAAGACTAGCACTCTACTACTTGAGCCACAGTTCTAATTATGGCTTTTCTGGTAGTTTATTGGAGGTAAGACTCTCATGGACTTCCTATCCTGGCTGGCTTCACTGGGATCTTCACATCTCAGACTCCTGAGTAGATAGGATTTCAGGCATGAGTCACAGGTGTCCCACCATAGTTGATTATTTTTTTTGGGGGGGGTCCAGTTGTGGGGCCTGAACTCTGGGCCTGGACACTGTCCCTCAGCTCTTCAGCTGAAGGCTAGCGCTCTACCACTTGAGCTCTACCACTTTCGGCTTCTTTTCTTTTTGCTTATGTGGTGCTGAGGAATTGAACTCAGGGCTTCAGGCATGCAAGGCAAGGGCTCTACCACTGAGCCACCTTCCCAGCCCCCATAGTTGATTTTACACAAAGAAAATCCTGGAGAATAAACACAACAATATACTTCAGAGCTGATAAGCAAATTATTTTTACATACTAGTGAATTTGAACAAAATTAAAATTTCCACTTACAATACCATCAAAAGTAGAAATTTCTTGTTTCTTTAGTCAAATTCTATATTTAAATTCTCATAATAGTCTTTTTTTGTCTGTTTTGTTGGTTTGCCAGTCCTGGGGCTTGATTTCAGGACCTGGGAACTGTCCCTGAGCTTCTCTTGCTAAAGGCTAGCAGAATACCCTTGAGCAATAACGCTACTTGTGGCTTTTTCTGTTTACATATTACTCAGGAATCAAACCCTGGGTTTTATGCATGCTAGGCAAGCACATTCCCAGCCCTTCATCATAGTCTTTGTAAAGATTTGAATAATGTTTTATTTCATTCTTTTAAGTTTCTATTAACTGTTTTCTTTTCTTTCCATATAGATCACATTTTTCTATATCTCTATAAATATCTCAAAAAATTTTGTTAAGCCAGGTGCTGGCAGCTCACATCTATAATCCTAGCTACTCAGGAGGCTAAGATCTGAGAATCTCAGTTCAAAGCCAGCCTGGGCAGGAAAGTCCATGAGACTCTTACCTACCAATAATAATCAGAAAACCAGAAGTGGAGTTTCTGTGGCTGAAAGTGGTAGAGCACTGGCCTTGAGCATAAAGACTCAGAGGTAACACCTAGGACCTGAGTTCAAGCCACACAACTAACTCCCCATTTTTTGTTGTTGTTGTTAAAAACTCACATAAGCTGGACGTCAGTGGCTCAAGTCTGTAATCCTAGCTACTCAGAAGGCTGAGATCTAAGGATCCGGGTTCAAAACCAGCACAGGAAGGGAAGTCCAGTATTAACCACTCAAAAGCTGTAAGTGGAGGTAGGATTCAAGTGGTAGAGCAGTAGCCTTGAGCACAAAAATTCGGGAAAGGCTCCCAAGCCCCGAATTCAAGCTCCAAGGTGTGCATGTGCACACATACATACATACATACACACACACACACACACACACACACACCTCTCTCACATGATATTGCAGCAATTGGCCAGGTGATAATGGTTCACCAGTGCCTATAATCCTAGCAACACAGGAAGGCTGCATCTGAGATACAGTTTAAATCCAGCCAGGTCAGCCAAATCTGAAAAACTCTCATCATCAATTCAGGTGTTGTTCAAGTGGCAAAACATCAGACTTAGTGAAAAGCCAAGCCAGAGCAGGAAGCCCTAAGTTCAACAAGTAGTGCTTAGGAAATTTTGATTTATTTTTCTAAACGTTAGGCAGGAATGTAGCTTGTTGGTAGAGTGCTTGCCTAGCATGCAGGAAGCCTTGGGTTCAATTCCTTAGTACCACATAAACAGAAAAGGGCAGAAGTGGCCCTATAGCTCAAGTGGTAGAGCACTAGGCCTTGAGCACAGAGAGGCTCATGGACAAAGCCCAAGCCCTGAGTTCAAGCCCAAGACTGGAACAAAGATAAAATAAAATAAAATAAACCTTTTTTATTCTTAACCTGGCTTTAAACAGGAATCTGTGTTCTTTACAAGGGATCACTGTTCTGGTTTTTTTTTTTTTCTTTTTATATATTTTAGCCTGGCTTCCTATGGAAGCCATCCTGTACGTGAGTAGTTTTCTGCTAGATTTTTGGCAAAGGTATGCTCATATTTCTCCAACCTACTCTACAAGCTGTCTATGGTCTACAAAGGGGAAAATCAAGATTTAACCAATTATGTGGGCACGCGTGCGCGCACACACACACACACACACACACATGTAAGAGCACCACTACTAAGACTTCAAGTCAGGGCTGGCACTCTATGATAACTTAAGCCACACTTTTACTTCTGGATTCTTGGTACTTAAATGAAGATAAAAGTCTCTCATGCAAGCAACTAATGGCTCATGCCTATAATCCTAGCTATTCAGGAGGCTGAGATCTGAGAATCATAGTTCAAAGCCTGTCCCAGCTGGCTTTGAACCTTTCTTTTTGTTTTGGTGGTCATGGCACTTGAACTCTGGGCCTGAGCGCTGTCCCTCAGCTCTTTAGCTCAAGGCCAGCACTATACCACTTGAGCTGCAACGCCACTTCCAGTTTTCTGGTGGTTTATTGGAGATGATGAGTTTCACGGACTTTCCTGCCAGGACTGGCTTTGAACCGCGATCCTAAGATCTCAGCCTCCTGAGTAGCTAGGATTACAGGAATGAGCCACCAGTACCCAACAGACTTTGAACCTTTCATCTCTAATTAACCACTAGAAAACCAGAAGTGGTGCTATGGCTCAAAGTGGTAGAGTACTAGCCTTGGGGCAGTGGGACAGGCAAAAAAAAAAAAATTCTTAGGAGTATTTGAGCCCTCTTAACAGTATTTAGAAAAGACCTTTATATCTGGAAACACTGAGCTAGGACTTGTCAGGTAGCAGCTAGCCATGAGTGGTGAGGAAATGCAAGAGCACAAAATGGAGAATAAGATCACAATGTCTCAGAAAAAAAAAAATTCTGTAATTAATTAAAATTTCCAACTCACAGGTATCCTCAGCCATGTATAATGGAACTAAGAATTTCACACAGGCAATATAAGTATTCACAAATGCCAAAGGCTAATTCTGTTGTACTCACCACTAAGACAACACATTTGCAGCCAACTGGTAGTGTATTTGTATACACTAACAGGTACTTACACTGTTTTTCTGCCATAAATTAATTAAAAGCATCTGTACTTCCATTTCATGTCTATCCTATGTCTGTCTCCACTTTGCAATCATCTTGGTTCCAGGAAAGACAGGACTGCTTAGTAACACCTTTATGACAAAGAACTAAATAAAACTGCTCCTAAGGAAAAGCAGAGATTTCCAGGACAAATCACCTCCAAATAAGAATAAATACCAGTAATAATAAGGTTGTACCCTGGAGCAGAAGAAATCATTTCATAGAAACTAGACTGCTCCCCTTAAATGATGACAGCAATAACAACTTCTCTAGAACCACAGACAGTCAGATAATGACCAGCCAGGCCACACCTGTAAATCAGAGTCTTAACCATACATCCCTCAGCCCCTAATTGCCCCTCTACTTAAATGTAATGCTCAGATCTATATCTTAAAGACAGATAAAGATGAACTGAAATATTGGCTTCCTGTGGTATCATGCCATGTACTCTTCTTTCTCTGCCACCTTTTTTTCCTACTAAACTTTTCTATCACTTTTACTACATTTGCATCTTGCCTGAATTCTTTTCAGGCCAAACTAAAGAATTGAAATTGACTAGCTATCTTAAATTTCTTGTACATGAAGGAGTGTAAGGTCTACAATTAACTAAAATGCCTTGAGGGTTTAGTTAGCCATTTCACATTTCACTTTTTCAAGTCTTCTGGAATGCATTAAGTGGAGGAGAAGCAACTAGATGACCTCAAAAATCTCTTTATGATTTCCAGTAAGGCTTACTATTTTGAGCTCATTCCATTTTTAGATAGCTGTAATTGTTAGAAAGGACTTTCTAAAATTCCAAATATAAATTCCACTTCTTAAAATCTGTCCTAGAAAGATATGATCACATGTGCACAAAAACATCTATAAGGATCATTCTCAATAACAAAACAGCTGGAAATTTTTTTTTTCTTGGTGCAGGTCTAGGGTTTGAACTCCAGGCTTAGGCACTGTCCCTAAGGTTTTTTTTGTATTTTTTTTTTTTTTTTGCTCTAGGCTAGCAACTCTACCACTTGAGCCACACCTCCAGTTCCAGGTGGGTTTTTTTGATGATTAGAGATAACAACCTCTAGGTGCCTGCCCTGCCCCAGGGTTGGCTTCAAACACCGATCCTCAGATCTCTCTCCCTCGTGAGTACCTAGGATTACAGGAATGAGCCACCAGTGCACAGCTCAGATATATCTCTTAATAGAGAAAAGCAATGTGGTATTATAATATGGGATAATAAACAGCAGATACAATTAAAGGAAGTACACAAGTTCACTAATAAGGAAAAACTTTTAAACTATATTAACAAAAAATACAGAACATAGATATTTTTATGCCATTTATGAAAAAACCATGAAATCTTATATAGCATTTTCTTCAAGTATGGAATGTTCTATATTTGCATAATCCAGTACACTAGCCACTAACCACATATAAGTATAGATTTCAGAAATATGGCTCAAAAGAAACTGAATTTTAAATTTTGATCACTTTCAATTTATGTAGTTAGTAGTGCACTGTACAGTGTAGGTCTGAAAATATTTTTTTAATAATGATTAGCTAACCTTAGAAAATAACAGAGGAGTGTAAGGGTGAAAAACAAACTTAAGACTGTACCCAGCAATATTTGAATATTTTTTAAGAAAGTAATATTTATAGTTTACATAAAGGTAACAGAAAATGAGGGGCTGGGAAGGTGGCTCAGTGCTTGCCTCTCATGCATGAGGCCCTCGGTCCCACTCCTCAGCACCACATGAACAGAAAAAGTCAGAATTGGTGCTGTGGCTCAAGTGGTAGAGCACTAGCCTTGAGCAAAAGAAGCTCAGGGACAGGGCACAGGCACTGAGTTCAAGCCCTAGGACCGGCAAAAAGAATAAATTAATTTAAATTTAAATTAAAAAAAAAACAGAAAACCAGTCTACTAAGCCAAATCAGCCATACGTTGAAAAAACTGAACAAGTACAGTAGCTTTTCCCCCAAACACTATATAAAACCACATTTCCTCCGATTTTTCTTTCAAACTTTCTCCTCACCCTTTATCTCTAAACAACTAGTTATTTACATAAAGTAGTGTAATTATAAAAAGATTTTTACTCATTATTGGGAAGCAAGGTATACTTTCTAAGAACATTTTCCAAGGTAGGTGATGGAACTGTATCTTCCTATGCAACAAACCTAATACTGTGGGAAGGGACTGTCATAACTTAAGCTTTCTTTGCTCCAACCAAACATCTCTCCGGCCTGTATTAAAGGGAAAGTCAGAACTTTCATATGGCTCTATCCTGACTCAAAGAACAGTAGCTCAAGTCAGGCATGAACTTTCTCTTAGTGAAACAGCATATTCATAGAGTATCAGCACAAAGCCTAAATAGTTTATTATTCACTTACTCATTAATTCACGGAATGCTACTATATTATATACCAGGACCGTACTTGGGAGAGGAGATAGGGCAAAGAGCAAGATTATGTATGCAGAGTCTCTGCCCACAAAACTTCTAAATTCGCAGACATTAACACTAACATGTCTGAATATTCCAATACAACAGAGCAAGGCCATGGGTAATTCCTAAATGTCCTTTAGACATTTCAATAATGTCCTTTAGACATTTCAATAATCTATAGCAAAAATGAGAAAAGGAGCAATGTAGTAGATAGAATACATTTATTCTATAGGATTTTTCTTTATTACAACATGACACCTTTTTTGTTTGGGTTTTTTAATATTTATAATGTTCCTGGGCAAGAGACAGAGCTCAACTGGTACAGTGCCTGCCCACCAAGAGCAAATGCATGAATTGAAACTTCAGTTATCACCAAAACAAGTAAATTGTTTACTTCATGGAATACTTACTGGTTCTGACACAAAGAGGAAAAATACATGATTTTTTCATTGGTTTTTAGTTTTACTTCCAAAATAAGAAAACACCAATGAAACTTCTATACCAAGTATTTGCTGATACTTTATCCATGTCATCTTGTGACTTAAAGGTCTAGAGAAAGCTCCTTCTGCCCTAATATGCACCCTCTCCACAGATTAAGCAATTACTCCTCCAACAAATAGTCCTCTATAATAGTTAAATTATTACATTTTGATACAAGGGAATGTGAGCCTTCCCATTCTGTTTCTCACAAGAACATTGTCACAGTAAAACAACACACAGAATTATAAATACGAAAAAAGCCCATAGTTAAAAATGCATACTGGTGAAAGTGAAAATTGTAATTCATGACAGTGTCTTCATTAACAATAAAAATAGCCATATTTTTTATCAAGATTATCTCCGGCTGGTTTTAAACATCATCCACACTAAAAAAGGAAGTTTATATTAAAACTCCAAAAAAGTAGGTGTGGAACTAGTACAGAAAACAAAGTCAAAAAGAAGTTAATACAAATTCTACAGCAAAAGTTTAACAGGATTGACAAAGTTGCAAATTTTACTTAGTAATTGAAAGTGACACAAAGTTCCCTCAGAGCATTTCAAGTCTTTTCCTTTCACCCATCCCCCCAGTAACAACAAAATACTTACTCTGGGTAACCTGAATGCTTTTAGGTAAAGGTTAGGCTGGAAGTAATACAATATAGCACAAACAAAAGTTTGTTCCCTCTTTTTCTTAAGTCAAGCTGGTCTAAACTCCCAAGATGAAGACTCAAATCTGCCCTTTCTGTATGTGACCTTGTATAAGTCATTCAACCATTTCATTCAGAACTACTGAATTGTTAGCTCCCCTCCCGCAAAGAGCTATGCTGCCTAGTCAATTAGTATAAACTTCCTGGCCCAAAGCACCGAAAAAAAAAAATTAGTTTCTTCCGGCACAAAAACCAGGATTAACGGTGTTGATCTCACAATATTAACTGGAGAAATCAAAAAGGCATTTAAAAAAAAAAAAAAAACCTCTGGATAGTGACTGATCACAGTAAATGCTTCACCAAGGTTGACTGCTCCTGACAATGAAGAGTCAGCTATCAAACCTGAAAGTACGGTTTGAGAACTTCCAGGCACTCATGTGAAAGCCTTTAGCCACCAGGCATACATCGCTCAAGTGCTGAAATGCATGTTTCACGAGAAACCCTCAAATCGTGTCTACCGTGCTGAATTGAGAAGCGAGTAGTAAATCAACCCTCAATCGTGGGTCACCGAGCTCAGCTATTAACAAGGCATTCATTCGGCAGACTCCCGAGTTTTCTAACTTCAAACAAAACAGGCCATCCCCTCGCGGGCTTCCCAGCCTCCCCGTCGGGCGTCCCCCGGCTGTCAGGACCCCCCTCCTCCTCCTCCTCCGCGCGCACAGGGGGAGGAGAGAGAGAAAGCCTCGGGGGCGGGGGCCGCGGGTGGGGGAAAGGGAGCCTCCCTGCGCCTCTCGCCCAGACCCACCTTAAGCAGGATGGACGGCGGCAGCTGGTTGATGTCTGGGGTTTCGGGGGGCGGCTCCCTGTGACAGTCGCAGGGATTTTCGGGGGGCTCCTGACAGTCCGCGTCGCCACACTCGTGCTGCTGCTGGGCGGACGAGGGGGCGGTACCCCCGGCTCGGAGAGCGTCCCCGCCGGCCTCGCTGGGGACACATTCGGAAGCGGGCGAGGCAGGCGCCGGGCAGAGCGGTGGCGGGGGCTGCTCGGGGCCCGGGCAGCA